CTCACCTCTGTCACCCCAGCCCTACCCAGCTGGGCACGTCACCCTCTTGACCCAGGACCAGCAGCCCCTCAGTAGCCAGAGCAGGGAAGGTGCAAGAAGGAAGTGGGGGGAGGCAGGAGCCCTCCACAAACCAGCCAGAAAGGAGACACAGGGGGGAACAGGAACACACCCACCCTCCCTCCCCCTAAGAAAAAGCATCTGTCCCCTCTGTCCCCCCTCCCCCCAGAACTTCTCCTGGCCAGCCCCAGGCATGTCACCTGACTCTCATGAGCCTCCTTTCTCCCATCAGCAAAACAGGGCTGAAGAGGCTTCCTGCCCCAGCATGAGCCTTTGGTGGAGAATGACGCTGAAGAGCAGGAAGAGGCTCAGGCAGATGATCCCAGGCTGAGGTGCCATTAGCGGAGGTTTGGGAAGCAAGTGAGAAACACCAGTAAGTCACCGGGTGTCACTGGGCCCCGCGACCCCATCTACAGCCGGACGTGACTCTTAGCCGGCAGGTAGAACAGAAGGTTTGTTACGTCACATGGGGACAGTGTAGAATAGACTTGTTAGCCCAGGGACCAGAGACGTACAATTGGTAGCTGGATTCAGCTTCCCTGGCAGGTCGGCATTTTGCATCCCTTAAGCCGACCTGCCCAGCCGAGTACAGAGCAGGCCTCAGTGAGTCACATCCAGAATTCCCATCCCCATCTAGATAACAGTGCGGTGCCCAGGGAAACTGAGGCACACACAGAGTTCCTGCAGAACAGCACAGGACAGCAGGGATCACATGCAACATAGCAGAGTGAACAGAGCCATGTGCCGCTCCCCTGTGCCTGCTCCACGCACATCTTCCCATTGCAGAAAGCACTCTGAGCTAGGCTGTGACTAGTCAGCCTGTCTCTAGGCACCCAGGGTGTGTTTGGGTTTATCATCAGCACTGAGCTTTGTCCAATAGCCCAGGGAACACTGTGAAAACCAAAACCTTCCAGCCCTGGGTGTCCCTGGCCAGCCAGAGAGTGGCACAAAGGCTCCCAGCAGTGCTGACTTGGGTAGTTTGAAATAAACACCTACAGCTCAGAATAGGTGACCGAGTGATCTAGATGATGGACTGTTAATCTGTTGTGTTCTGCACACATTGGTTCAACACCCCCCCCACACACACATCAGGTGTTTGCAACCTTCTTACAGAGCTCTGCTCAGTTCAGTGCCAGCCCCTCCTGTAACCATGCCTTTCACAGTCCCTTTCCCACTGCAGCTTGGGGAAATCTCCAGAGACACTCCCAGATGTGACCCTCAATCCCTTCTGCCCTCAAGGGGAAAACTCACAAAGGAGATTCCAGACAGCCAAGCAATGGAGGAGCAGGGGGACAGGGGGTCTTTGAGATTGTTCCAGCCCTGCAGCCCGTCCCACCTGGTTGTTGTCATGGAACCTCTGTGAGGTCACTGCCTCCCAACCAATGACCTGAGGTGCTGCAAAAGGCCCTTGTGATGTCGCTACTGTTTGAGCTGCTTCTCCTGTTCCCCGTCCCCTAGTCACAGCTAGTTCTGGGGCTCAAGTAGGGAATATCAGAGGCTGCTCAGGGCACCATATGCAACCTGCAGACTTAAGGCCAGAAGAGACAATTAAATCATCTCATCTGAACCACTGCACCCCCCGAGTACCAGCAGCTTCCTGCATGGCACAGTAGTGAGGTTTGCACTCAATCAACTCTAGAAAGGCATCTGATCTTCACTGCCAGCCCCAGAGGTGGGAGAAAGCACCATGATCTTTGGGAGTAGGGACGGATTGAAACAGTGACAGAAAAGGACTTGTGAGTCTGTGTTACATGCACAACAGCCCTGGGTCCAGGCTGTACAGGCACCTTCATTCTGCTATTTCCTTGCACTGACAGGGCTGACTGCCCCCAGAGCTTGGTACTGACAGAACTATTGGGAGAGAGATGCACTAAGTTATTGATAGTGAAGGGCCCCCTGGTTTGCCACCTGAAACTGGGCCCCTCCCAACATCCTGTGTCTCCCCAGCCTGGGCCCCTCTCACCCTGTGCTGCCAGGATAAAGTGGAAATGGCCCCTAATGCTGCCCTCACACAAATATTTATACAGCCTGGGCCAGACCTAGCTGCAGCTACTCCCATCCCCAAAGCCTGGTTCTCCAGCCCTGTCCCATCTTGACCAAGTCACAAGCCTCAGCAGTGTAAGTGTGCTACCCGGGGCACTCACCCCGCCATGTTGTGAGGCCAATGCACCAGCTGTTGTTCCTGCACAGGTTCCTGCAGCACATCTAGCAACACACCGTAGTTTAGAAAAAGGCGAAAAGCTCTATCAATCCAGAGATTGGCTGGAGTGATGTGAGCACACAGGGCAAAGCAGATCACGCAAGAAATAAACACAAACACCATCTAAACCTCAGAAACAAGATAGGCTGAGAATGAAGCAGCATCTCACCCTCATATACAGCAGGAACAGTTCCCCAAGCTTTGATACACAGGCAGGCAGAGGCTGAAGGAGCTGAGTTTCTCTGAGACCTTAGGGACCCAGCATAAGGCACCATCCCTGGCATCTCTCTGAAAGTGGCAGAAGGGGATTGATGGGGGATGAGGAGTGTGAGGAGAATGTCTTGGGGGTTGTGCAGCTTGCATGTGGCCAAAACACAGACCTCACTGGAAACAGGATTTTTACCTGCACTGGGAAACCACAAACTCCTGCTGTGCTTCGGGAGCCAGGTTTGCTGTTTGAATTCTGTGTGGCAGGTGATGTCAGGCCTGGGCACTGGGATTATTTACCAGTTTTCCTGGCCCTACGGCACTACTGCACTCATAGCTGTAATGCCTGAGTGGTTAAGGTGTTAGAACTGAAATCAAATAGGGCAGCAGTTCCCAAACTTTTCCGCATCATGCCTCCCTTTTTGTTTTTTGAAAAACCCGCAGGCCCCCCCTCGCCCCCGCCAAAAATAGCAGCAAAACTTCTCCCCAGTTTGGGAACGCATGCAATAGTTTCCCTGCACAGGTTCAAAGCCTGCTCACAGTGAGACCACACTGAGTTGATGCAAACCTTTCCACATACTACAAGTTGCTAATGGACACACACAGTTAATTATATCATTATACCTGAGCCATTATGCTAGTGCAGCAGCTGGGGAGATCAGTTTTAATTACATTATAAAACAGATCAAGCATTGTGACTGTGTTACTCTGTCAAACTCCATTTTAAACAAAATAAAACTTTATGGCCAACACAAAAAGTTTCAATGTCTTCCTTTATTTAAGACAGGGGTGGAGAAACCATTTTTCAGTTGGGGGTCACTGATCCACAGAAAACTCAGCTGGACACCACACAAGTGAGAAGCCAAAAAACAAATAAAAAAAACCCTCCAAAACTTCCAGTGGCTGCTTGGTAGAAAGAGGGGCAGGGCTGAGCTCCTTCCTCTGCAGCACATGCCCATAAGGAGGTGGGGCCTGGCACTGACTCATGGGCAGGATCAAAGCCCTAGGCAGGCCAGATTCTGCTTGCTGAGAAGTTTTCCCCACCTCGGCTACGTCTACACTGGCCCCTTTTCCGGAAGGGGCATGTAAATTTCATGAGTCGTCGTAGGGAAATCCGCAGGGGATTTAAATATCCCCCGCGGCATTTAAATAAAAATGTCCGCCGCTTTTTTCCGGCTTTTAAAAAAGCCGGAAAAGAGCGTCTACACTGGCCCCGATCCTCCGGAAAAAGCGCCCTTTTCCGGAGGCTCTTATTCCTACTTTGAATACTTTGAATAAGACCCTCCGGAGCCGCGGGGGATATTTAAATCCCCCGCGCCGGAAGGGGCATGTAAATTTCACCAGTCGTCGTAGGGAAATCCGCGGGGGATTTAAATATTCAAGTAGGAATAAGAGCCTCCGGAAAAGGGCGCTTTTTCCGGAGGATCGGGGCCAGTGTAGACGCTCTTTTCCGGCTTTTTTAAAAGCCGGAAAAAAGCGGCGGACATTTTTATTTAAATGCCACGGGGGATATTTAAATCCCCCGCGGATTTCCCTACGATGACTCATGAAATTTACATGCCCCTTCCGGAAAAGGGGCCAGTGTAGACGTAGCCCTCTGGTATTGGGTCTCTCCCCTGTGTGGGTTCTCCAATGTACAAGGTTTGAATTCTTACTGAAGTTCTTCCCATACTCAAGAGCAGATGAAGGATTTCTCTCCTGTGTGGGTTTGCCGATGTCTAACAAGCTGTGTCCTCCAACTGAAGCTTTTCCCACAATCAGAGCACTTGAAGGGTTTCTCCCCATTGTGGATTCTCCTATGTGTATTAAGCTTTGATCTACAAATGAAGCTTTTCCCACAGTCAGAGCAGTTGAAGGGTTTTTCCCCCGTGTGGGTTCTCTGATGGATAAGAAGATATGACCTCTGAATGAAGCTCTCCCCACAGTCAGAGCAGCTGAACGGTTTCTCTCCTGTGTGGGTTCTCCAATGGATATGGAGATTAGAGCTACAACTGAAGCTTTTCCCACACTCAGAGCAGCTGAAGGGTTTCTCCCCAGTGTGGGTTCTCATATGGAGAAGAAGATTTGAGCTCCGACTGAAGCTTTTCCCACAATCAGAGCAGCTAAAGGGTTTCTCCCCTGTGTGCGTTCTCCGATGAGTAAGAAGATTTGAGCTCCGACTGAAGCTTTTCCAACAGTCAGAGCAGCTGAAGGGTTTATCCTCTATGTGGGCTCTTTCATGTTTAATAAGAGTTGCACAGTCACTGTGAGCACAGGGGGACTGCTGATGGGGGATTTTCTGTTGAACATTTTCTGTGTTTGTTTTCACCCCTCTGCTCTTGTGACTGGATTTACCCTGTCCCTTCCTTGGATGTTTTTCTTGCCGCCTTTGTGAGCTACACTGACTCTCACAGGCCTCTCCTTCCTCAGGACTCTGAGTAGCATGCCCTTCAGATCCTCCCAATAACATCCCACATGGAGCCATTTGTGCTGCTTCTTCCTGCTG